TAGTCTCCTAAAGGCGACTGTAGTCTCCTAAAGGCGACTGTAGTCTCCTAAAGGCGACTTTTCTTCCTCTATAGAAGTAGTGAACTCTATAGTAGATGTGAGCTGCAGGTTGTTTCTATGTTCTCTGCTAAATGTCGTCCTGTGTCCAGGCCGAGGACGGCCACGCCGTGGCCAAGCGGCAGCTGGAGGCGGAGACCCTGATGCGAGTGGACCTGGAGAACCGCTGTCAGTCGCTGAGCGAGGAGCTGGAGTTCAGGAAGAACATGTTTGAGGAGGTGAGTGATGGCGGGACGCCGCCTGCAGCTGGGATCATCTCTGCTCTCTGGTTGGCTGATAGCTGCTGGGAGTACGGGGTTAAAGTGAAGCCACCGGCCGCCATATTGGTACTCCCCACTTAGACCGTTCGCAATGTAAACAATCAATGCTCTGCAGCATCAAACAACCAGGATGTTCTCATTTTCAGGAACTGAAGACTTTAAATAAAGATAAATTCCTCACTTTGACACAGACTGGCTGTTTGAGAGCATCAGCAGATTAACTTAGAATAAATAAACAGACCAATCACACTGCAGAGTCATTATGACGTCTATGAATCACCTAATATAAACAAATCACAATAACATTAATGGAGCAGAATGATACAGATCAGCCAAAAGTGATAAATTGATTGATGGTGATTACATTTTACACATCATCATTTAATAAACATTCACTACATTAACATTTCCCAGTGAATGACTTTCTATTTTCTAACCTTAGACCCAATGTCAGCATCTAACTCAGTCAATGTCTTCCAGTCAGTCTGAATCTACAGACTAATGTTAGTCTGTAGACTAATGTTAGTCTACAGACTAAACTATAGGATCCATGGGCTATATATGGATTTATTGCTTAGTTCATCCACTGACTGGGAAATTACCAGTGGAACGTCTTCCTGCAGACAGATGCTGCACAGGGAGGCTAACCCTGATGGTGGAGAAACGTTAGGCTGTTTCTGGCTGCGTGGCGTTTCTCTAAACGCCAAACTGTCTGAAGCCCAGAACATCAGTTCACTGCTTTCAGATGATCCTGCAGGCTGCAACAGCGCCGCTTGCAGGCCGCTGTAATCCCAGCGCCGCCTCCAGGCCGCTGTAATCCCAGCGCCGCCTGCAGGCTGCTGTAATCCCAGCGCCGTGGCTACTGGCGGTGATTCTGTTGCTGGTTTGTTTGATATGACTTTAAATGAGAATCCAGATCAGTTGATCTAATTGGCCTGAAATAATGAACCAGCATTGTGGTTTCCATGGTGATGAGTTCCTGGTGGGTTGTCGGCCTGATCAGGCGTCACGGCGCTGTGTTTGTCCTCAGGAGATGCGTGAGAGTCGCCACCGGCAGGAGCAGAGGATCGTGGAGGTGGATTCTGGAGTCAGACAGGACTACGAGTTCAAGCTGGCCCAGGCTCTGCAGGTAAGCTATCTGTTAGCGTCAAACCGTTAGCGTCCAGCTAACAGGAAGTCCCATCCGACTGAGAGGTCATGGCGTGATTTAGCTGTTTCCAAACCACTGCTAGCTGCCTCACCAGGGGCCCGTACCGCCAGCGCCCCCTGCTGGGATTCCTCCCAGTCTATCCAGTTTAACCAGTCCACATCGATGACCATCAGGATCAGCGGTGCCACCGAGCCCGTTAGCAGCTCGCTAATCTGTGGAGGTGCACATATGAGGGGGCGGTTCAAGCTAGCAGCAATTAGATTTCAAACAAAAAAAATATTATCTAGTAGTTTTAAATGAATACCTTAGTTTAAATTAGTATTGCTTCCCAGTAATTCCAGGATGAAACCAGAGATTAATAATCTAATGTCTTTAACACATAATCTGATGTAAATCCCATTTCTAACCTGGCTGCTCCTGCAGGAGCTGCAGATTGAACTCTGTGTTCACATGTTCACTTCAATTCTCCTGTTCTAGCTTCACATTTATGGATCGCTTCTAAAAATATCAAACATTTTTAATTTAAACTTTAGATATAAAATAATCCACTGTAGCAAACAGTGGATTAAATCAGATTATCTGTTGGTTATTCATTGTATCTAACAGCCTGATTAACCTAATGCCATAAAGTAGTGATGGAAATGAGACGCGGCTCCAGGATGATTAGATGAGGTGAGTCCATCAGGTGTTAGTCTGACCCAGTGAGGAAAAGGTCTGCAGAGATGAGGGTGAAGCCGCCGCAGCGACGCGGCTCGGCCTTCACTGTCACCAGAAGCAGCTCTGTGGGTCGCTCCCCGATGCTCCCCGATGCTCCCCGATGCTCCCTGATGCTCCCCGATGCTCCCCGATGACCCAAAGGCTGGTTCTGATGCTCGCTGGTGAACAGATGCTGCGTGATGGAGGTCCATGATCTCTGCTGAGTATCTCCTGACTCTGTGATCCTGCAGGACCTGCGGAGGCAGCATGATGAGCAGGTTTCCCTCTACAAGGAGGAGCTGGAGCAGACCTTCCAGGCTAAGGTAGGAGCCTCCCTCTCCTCCCTCCATCTGCTGCTCCCTGTTCTGGTCCACAGCTTCACTGTCGCTGTCCTTCCAGCTGGATAACGCCCAGATGTCCTCAGAGATCAACGACAAGGCCATGGGCGCCGCCCGGGAGGAGCTGCAGGAGTCCCGCAGCAGGATAGAGAGCCTGGGTTACCAGCTGAGCGCCCTGCAGAAGCAGGTAGGACTCCTCCTCCTGCAGCGAGTCCGAGTCCCGCTGCCGCCCGCTCACTCACCCGCCCTGCTCATAGGTGTCTGCCTCAGAGGACCGCATCAGAGAGCTGGAGGACATGCTGTCTGCAGAGCGCGACAAGCACCGCCGCGCCATGGAGGGCAAGGAGCAGGAGATGGCGGAGCTGAGGGAGCGCATGAACGCTCAGCTCAGCGAGTACCAGGAGCTGCTGGACGTCAAGCTGGCTCTGGACATGGAGATCAACGCCTACAGGAAGCTGCTGGAGGGGGAGGAGCACAGGTAGCTGCTGGAGGGGGAGGAGCACAGGTAGCTGCTGGAGGGGGAGGAGCACAGGTAGCTGCTGGAGGGGGAGGAGCACAGGTAGCCATGAAGGAGGGG